TCAGGTCTAAATGATCAGCAGATTCTAGCTCTGCCCACTACTCTACAGAGGCTGAAAATCACGCTGAAATCTCCATCTCTGGGCCTTTGTCCTTCAGAGGCTCATGTTCAGCAGTCTACCAGCATCTGAACTTAGAAGTTCAAAGGAACCTCAAGAACACCTGGTCCCAAAGGAAACCTGCCTTTTCCTCTGCTTAAGCCTGCTGCTCTCTGTTCCTTAGCATAGTTCCTGGCCCCACCTAGATCCCTAACAGGCAGGCAGGAACCGAGGGAGTCATCCTACTGCACAGCCTCTTCTTCCTCTCCTCACTTCCCTTCAGCCTTAACCTCCTCCTGATTCCATCTTTTCATATCTTTGGGCATCAAGCCTACCTCTCTAACATGGCTAATGCTGCCCTCAGCCAGGCTTTCCCATCTCCTCCTAGACCAGGCTGGCTTCGACTAGCTTCAGAGCACCACTATGCTCATGTAAAGAAGTGGTTATTTTCCATTTCTGTGGTTCTCTGTTTTAAGGCTTTTTACTATGTGATTCTATTTAAAAGCAAAATAGTAATAATAATGCCAAATATGTGCTATTTTACTTTCAAAGCTTATAAAGCACTCTCATACTCATGATATCTTCTGATTCTAGGAGAGCCTGAGGAGGGAACTATTGCCATGATTAATTTTCACTTATGTGTGAAGAGTGGGGTTTCAGGGGTTAGCTAAAGTCCTGCCTAAGATCACGTGCTTAGGAACTGTAATTTAGACCCAAGTCCCCTGACTCTGGGTATCTGTTTTCACTCTCTCTATTTTTTTTTCCAAATCTCTCTCCCAAAGCATCTAAAGTTCTGCTTTTCTTTCCCTTGAACACTAAAAATCCGTCAGGTAATAGTTTATATGTCTTGGGTTCCCACTATGAAGATTGGTCTTTAAAAAAAAATGACAGTGACATTATTTATGGCAATATCTATTGTTACTAAGGGAGACAGACCAAACAATTCTCCATTGTTACAGATGCTACTTTGACGTGACAGCTGGGGAAGTCTGATAGGCAGTTTATTTACTTAGCTATTTAACCAAATAAATGTTTTCATTTTTCTTTCATCTCCTCAAAAGCTAACATTTCGCCCTTAAAATTGCTCCAGCAACACATCAGTGGAGTATAAATTACCTGCCATTCCCACACCAGCCATTATAATATTATTTGGGTTCTTTTTTTGTGCCCTTGTTGACCCAGTCTTTCACAGACACGTGATTCTCCCAGATGGGAGGGTAGGGGAAAACATGAAATAAATGAAGATATTCTCCGTTATTGCTAAAACAGAAATGCTGTTTGAGATTGGCCCCAAAGCATCCACCTGTGAGGATTAAGGCCGTCTGTTTCCCCTTACGAGGGTGAGATATGGTTTTAACTTATCAACAGACGTCACCCCTACCTACTCAGAATTGTGCGGGCATTTCCAATAAAAAGCAGCTGGTGATAATGGTTGCAACGGTGATAAGAAGGCTGAGACTCCTGTTTTCCAGCTGCATGGAGGCAGAGGGGAAAATAGAACTATGGACCTAAGTTGCCCTGCATGGTCTATCCCTTCTCCAAATGTCTGGAAAGGCGCTAAGAAACTGCAGTCAGTAAATTTACGGTTAGGTGGATGGGTGAATGGAATGGAGACAGAAAGATCAAATGTGGCTTGTGCTATATTGAAGGAGGGGCCCAGAAGCCCCATTTGGACCTCCGTTGTGGGTGTCTTGGGAGATTCCCTTGTAGCTCAGTTGGTAAAGAATCTGCTTGCAATGCAGGAGACCTGGGTTCGATCCCTGGGTCGGGAAGATCCCCTGGAGAAGGAAATGGCAACCCATTCCAGTATTCTTACCTGGAGAATCCCATGAACAGAGGAACCTAGCAGGCTACAGTCCATGGGGTCGCAAGAGTCAGACACGACTTAGCGACTAAACCACCACTGCCACCATGTGGGTGTCTTACAGGACGTGTCAGTAAGGCTGGCAGCGGCCTCTTGGCATGTGATCCCTGATGGGCCACTGTGAAATTGCCAGACTAAGCTTTCAAAGGGAGGAAACTGCTTCATTGAAGATTATAGCCCAGCCTGCCTTTGGAGCTGGGAACTACTTATTATGATTTAAATGTGAATATAAGATAAGGCTGCTCTGTTTCGAGAAGTGAGTTGGCCCATGAGGCCCTAAAAGGGGTCATTCTGATTATGGGGCAGGGTGAGCCAGAGAACTAAGAAATAGGGTTTTTCATTTTCTTTTTTCCCCCACAGCTCTTTTAAGGCATACTGAAAATTAATTACTTGCAAATAGAAAGTACAAAGCAAAACCTCTCAGGCAATGGCCTGGGTCCTTATGGTGGAATTTATTCAACATAAGGACATAAGGGCTAAATGTATAAAATCCAAGGGAGTGGTAAACCATGTTTATTGAGCACATGTGATGACGGTTTGGGGTGGTGGTGATGGTGTTGGTGTTGGTGTTGCTGATGGCAAGTAATAGCTTGGCTACTTTCCGTGTGTCAGACACGGTGTTAAGAATTCCAGACATATCACTTAGTCCAAACAATAACCTCATGAGAAAGACTATTTTTATCCTTATCTTTCTAAATAAGATAGAGAATTATCATGACATCTCATCAGGGTCACATAGTTCATAAGTGTTAGTGCCAGACTGAATTCACTCTAGTTCCAGAACCCAGATTTTTAAGCTGAGTACCGAGTGTCTGCTCTATGCGCCATCTCAGTTAAGGTAGTGGATACACCAGGCCCTGCCAGCAGATAAGCATACCAAGACTCAACAGCAAGGATGGTTCTTGCCCAAGATTTCCAAGGTAGCTGAGCTAGAATTTGAACTCAAGTTCCAAATCCTGAGCTCTTCCCACAAGACGGTGCCACATCCATTCACAATTCGGCCCTGGCCTGGGGTTCTAGACAGAGCATCAAACAACACAGAACAGGCTGAGGCCCCACAAAACAGCTTGCACAACTGTCTAAAGCAGAACAGACTCGTAAAGATGAGGGTGTGAGGCACTGATTTGCAAATGCTGTCCGTCATCTCTGTTCTCTACAGGAAGTTCAATTTTAGGATTAGATGTTGGCTGTTATGCTGATGAATGGCTCTTGTCACCCTTACTTCATCACATTTTTCAAGGCAAGGGTGAGCATGTGAAACAAAACATATGAAAGGGGTAGAAAAACCTGTTGGGGCATCTTCCCAAGGTGTCCACCCATCATCTCCAACTTCTGCCTTTCCTGGACCATCGACTCTGTCTATTATCACAAGCTCCCCAAATAGCTTTGTAAGATTACATTTTTAGATGGGTGTTTGCATGGCACGAAGGTATTCTCGTGTGTTACATATTGTACTGAGGTGAAATGTGGCAGAAGGTATGGTATGTGAGATTCTCTAATCATAAAATCTATGAACAAAACTCACTTTGAAAACACTCTATGAGCTTTCAATAACCATCAAAATAACTTACACACAAATGGCAACTGATTCCAAGGTAGCCTCAGAATCCATTTATGAACAGTGAAAACTATTTACCATTTTAATGGTTGTGACCATGCTGCTTAGGCCTAAAAAAGGAGCTCTGCTGGTTAGGGCCTTGTGGTCCTAGGCGTTTATGGAAAACTAGAAAAGCATCTGAAAATTGAAGACATTTGTCAAGGAGTGACCTTAGAAATCATGTCTGGGTAACAAGGGGGTACTTCTGTCTCCTGGGAAAGTTGGCTTCATCAGCTCCTCTTTCTTTCCATCAAATCAGATGTATTGAAATTCAAGTGCCTAAACCCACTTCTAATAAATGTAAGTACACCTCTCTCGAAGTCGCTGCTGATGGAGTCTGAAGTGGTTTGGTGGCAAACCTCTGGCTGTCACACAGGTGCAAACAGCAGAGCCTCAGAAGCGAATGCCACACGTCTCTGAATTTCACTTTCACAGGTCTGAATTCCACTTTCACGCCAGAAAGGGTGCAGGGCCCCTTTTGGCCAAACAAAACAGGCTACCATGATCTCACATCTCTATCAATTTTATCTCAAGAACTGCTTGTTCTGTTTCTTAGTCTGCCTTCTCAGTCTGTTTGGTTGGTGATTTTTTTTCTTTTCTTTTTTTAGATCTGTGGAGTGTAGGCAATTCTGTGACACACAGCTGAAGGGAGTCGAAGCATCTCGACCACATCTCACTGAGAAAGAATGTGTCCATCTCAGAATGTTGATGCTTTCAGACACTGAATCCACATTAAGCAGCTCTGACCATGCCTCACCACCCCCCAACTCAGAACATATCGGTAATAAAATAGTATGACCATTCCCCACTCCTCACCTTTACCCCTACTCCCAATACATGTCAAAGGTCATGCATCCATGAGGATAAATAAGGTGGAAGACAGACACCAGGCAAGGGGAGATGATGCAAACATCAAGGATACGCTCAGGCCAGGAAGATGGTGCGAACATCAATGATGCGACTTCAGAGGCAATGAGCAAGCAAAAGGGAGAGCGGATGGCTTAAGGGTGGGAGATCAAAAGGACAGATACCTACCCAGACCTGTGCTATCTAGCTACCGGCCTGTGGACTTATATTATCACCACTGGGCTCCCCACTGGGCTCACCAAAGGGATCACTGTTGGATGAGGCCTGTGACCCATCAGGCTAGAACACAAGAAGATAACACTTTTTTTTTTCTTTTCAGTAATTTAAAATATAAGACAGCTGGGTACATTTTCATGCACACATATCATCCATTATTTTAAAGAAGGCAGCACTCCGTTGAGAGGCTGCCACTTCTGCAAATGTGAAAACTTGCAACAATGTAATGAAAGGATAACAGTTTTCAGCTTCTCATTTGAACATAAAAGAAAATCCCTTTAGTCACCCCTTTAGAACCTAAGAGTCCGAGTCAGCATTTTTTTCTACATAGGCTTCCTCATGCATTGTTCATTTTAGATACAGAAGTTTTAAATGGAAAAACAACAACAACAACTCAGAAAGAACAAACCAGTCACTTACAGCTTCTTGCTCTTCACTTTTGCTGGGACTCTCAAAGCCCTCTTCAAAGATGTCATCAGCGGTCGGATCACTGGCATGGGATGCAGATGATTTGGATGGAGAGCTCTGTCTAGGGGCTGGGGTTGGAGCTACATGGAGACCATGCAAAAAGAGAAGACATCCTAAGTGTCCGGGGCAACTGTTTTTACCCCACAGAAACCCCAGGGATCTGGTTATGTTTGAGTCAAATCCCAGAACACCTCTTCCCATCACAAGTCAAATCAGTTGAATAGTTTAATCTCTCTTCTCTATCTATTTATCCTGTCCTCTCACATACTTGACAGTCAGGAGGAGCTGGTCCACAGGGATGGGTGAGGTAATGGTCCTCAAGGGATGCTCCTGGACTGGTAGCATTGGTCACATTTGGGGACTTGTTGGTAATACACATTCTTGCACCCTAACCTAGATACATCTGCTGAATCAGAAACTCCATGTTTCCGCAGACTCATGTTGAGACCCACTGGGCTATAGTTTTCTTTCTCTTTCTTAATTTCACACAATTATTTCAATAAGAATAAACAGAGACGAGGATAGTGCGGTGCATTTATTGGATGCCTTCCATGTATCAGAGGCCATCAAATTTCACAGGCAATATCTGTGATCCTCAGAAAGCTGTTTTGAGGTAGGGGTTCTCCAATTTTACAGATATGGACAGTGAAGGTTGCTAAATTGTTCAAGGTCTCAGACTTGGCAAGAGGTGAAAGCAGGCTTTGTATCCTGGCATGTAGTAGGTGTCTGATAAACCTGTGTGAATGAAGAGTGTCTCAGTGATCTGGGGAAATGGACATGGCTGAAGGCAGCTTCACAGCTGATGCTTTTTCCCTCAATCCATAAGGATCTGTATTTTCTGTCCTGACCTTCCCACAATTTCCTTGTCTCCTTTATTCCAGAGGTTTATAATAAATATGCCACTGGAAACCACTTTCCTTCCCATAATTTCTAACTTGGCATGGAAAATACTCCTCACTGGCTCAGCCCCAAGGTAGGGGGAGGAGGATAAGGCTTGATTTAATAGTCGAACTTCAAAAGGCTTGATAAGGTCTCCCTGCCATTACTTCCCAGAATTTACAAAATCTGGCTGCTCATCAGACAGTGAGTGATTATAAAACTTAGTGAGTTGCTTTTGCAACTCTAACATCTTTAGAAAGCCGTTATTTACTGCGTGTCAGTAAGCTAGACACAGCGCTGGGCACTTTGCATTCATCACGCCCTCTAATATAAACACTGCAGGTGCTACTGTACCTGCTATCTTTTTCTGATGAAGAAACTGCCACTCAAAGAGATGAAGTGCCTCTCTCAGAGTTAACACAACTACGAAGAAGCACGAGCTCTGGGAGGTAGCACAAATCTGATATTGCTCAGCCCCACTGTGCTTTTCTATTTCTATCTGAGGATCACTTTTGGTTCTGCTCCACCCAAAACATTTGAAAGGTGATGCTGATAGAGGATATAAAGACAGGCTATAATCATTTTCTTTAAAACATAGGATTTTTTTTTTAATTAAAAGGAAGTAGGTTTAAAGAGATAATCTATGTGAAAAACCTTGATATGAAGCACATGCTTAATATTTATTAGTGAAATTGGATTCCAAAGTGAGTTTGATGTAATTTCTTACTAAAGGCTGAGAATCCTGACCAAGCTGCCAATACTGAGAGGTATACTGCTCATACTTACTGGACGTAATCAGTGGGATGCAAAACTGTTTATTTATGCAAGTGTTTAACCTTTAGAAGCTTTTATAGAATACCTCTATACTCTAAAACAATAGTTCTCAATCCGGGATAGTTTTACTCCCAAACGGACATCTGGCATTATCAAGAGTCATTTTTTGTCATCATGGCTAGGGGAAGATGCCCACTGGGCATCCAGTGGGTAGATGCCAAGGATGCTGCTAAACATCTGCAATCCACAGGATGACCACCCACGATGAAGAATTATCTGGCCCCAAATCTCAACAGTGCCAAGGATACAAAGCCCTGCTCTGAAACACAAGAGTTACTAAGTGGCTTTTGTTTTGTTCATTTTCCTTCATTCTCTACAATCTTCCAAAATACCTCCCATGTGCCAGATACCACAGGAGCATCAAAAAAAGTGCAGCAACATGAGGATGACTAAGACATACTCCCTGTCCTCAAAGAACTTACACTTCCCTTTTTTATATGTGGCTGGCACACCAGCCCCTTGAAATAGAGACATTTGTTTTCAAAAAATGTTTGCTTATTTATGCATGGCTGTCATTTCTTTAGTGTTTCATTTTTTTAAATTCACGATTCTTCGTTGAAACCCTGTGAGTTGGAGTAAACAGAGACGCCCCCACCATGCAGATGATATGGCCCGAGAAGAAGTAGGCTATTTATACCCATAGAAGAGGTTCGTTTTCAGAACAGCATCCCAGACAGGGCTGAAGTGACATTATCTAAATGTGCTAACATTTTAGATTCTTTTAACAATTCACAGTATTGGCTAAGCAGTGATCCGTATCATCTGACAGTAATGAAAACGCCAACCTCACTGTGGCATGAGACTTTTCCTTCACCTTATCAACTGTTAAGGCACAGGCTGGATCACCCGGCAGCTTCCCGGGTTGCTGTCGAGCTGGCATCGGTGTACCCCAGTGTACCTGGATTGTTTGGCTGCATGGTACTGGTTTGCCAGAGGCTGGCAGTAGAAAAGTGAGTTGGGGGAGAATCCCTGAATGCCACAAACAGGACAAGGCACAAAGCTATCGAAGCCAGCTCACTTATCCTACCCAAGACATAAAGGGGGTTACGAGAAGTCACACACTTGCCCAGAGATACAGCTTGGGGTAGAGAAAGCAGGACTAGAACCTCAGTCCAGGACTCTGCGTAAATCCACTTGGTGTGCCATAACGATGATGATAAAAATACTTCCAACTCTGTGAGGGTTGTGATGTTTTAGTACCTGTACCACTGAATGCTTTTTATGACCCTTAGCCTGAGATAGTTGAGGAAACTGAGGCACAAAGAAATAAAATGAATTGCTCATTGGCACAAAACTAAGAAGTAATCAAGCTGCTCTCTGGATTCCTAGTTCAGAGTGTTCTGCTACAAGAACTTTTTTTTTTCTTCTCTTTGACTATCCGAAGCTTTGAGCCAAATTCTGGCTGCTACTCTACCTGCTGTAGGAGGCTTTATGACTGCTCTATCTCTGACCTGCATTTTCTCCTGAACTTAATTTTCTAATTTTTTATCCTTGTTCCTAACAATTTTTAAATGCACATACTCCATTCAGTTTTAGTTCAATAAGCCATACCCAAAACTATGTGTCAGAGCTGGGATATACATACATGAATACATGAAGGAGTGAATGAACAAAAACAGGAAACAGGGTGACATGCTAGAAAAATAACAGGCTTGTATTCAATTCTACCCTTTTGTCTATTTTCTTTGTCTTTGAATCTCACTTTCATTATCTGTCAAACAGGTCTAACAAAACTTGCCATAAGCATTGTTAGGAGTGTAGAAATAACATATATAAAGCCCATGGAGAAGGTACATATAACTGGCATCTAATAATGGGAGGCTATTGTTGGTAGTAGTAGTGATATAAACAAGAGGCCTGTTGAAGGCAACTGTGGTGGTTTCTCTGACACCAGAAACAAGGCATCAGTGGCTCTCAGGGGTTTATGTCTCCAGAGAAGGACACTCACGTGAGTTGGTCGATGGCGTGGTAGAAGTCACAGGTGTCAAGTTCAACTGGGAGATGTCAAAGTCATCACAGTCATCCGTATCCTGTGCCACCCCGACTTTGCTGAAGTAACTGGAGAAGGCCTCTGAGGTGCAGGTGAGGGAGGGCTGGTCGGGCTTGCGGGAGGGCACAGGCGGAGGCTGGGCCATCTGGAAATCCTTAAACATTTCTTTTCCCATTTTCTGCCTGGGCTTGTCGGTCTGTGGACTTGACCTGGCGGAGTCACCCGTGGCTGGGACGGTTGCAAGGGGGGTGAGGGGACCTTGGAACATGGCAGCTGGCAAAGGCATAACAGTTTGTGCGGGCATGAAGGCGGCTGGCGGAAACTGCCCGGCCACGGCGGGCCAGGGTTGCTGAGTGGCAGGGAAGAGACCCGGCTGGCCCCATGCAATGGGCTGAGCCCCCGGCATCACCTGAGCGACTGGCGGCTGAGCACCCATGGCAATCTGCTGTTGGACAAGGGGCTGCTGGCCCCAGAAGGATGGGAGGACGGCGCCCATAGCAACATAACCTGCAGGCGTGAAAAAGAAGCATTTAAGGAGTCAAGGGATTGGCATAAAGGCATCAGTGACTACTCAGTGTCAGGCTGTGGGCTAGGATGCAAAGGTGAGTAGGACAGAAGGCCCTGCTCTCCTGGAGTCTGCCTTCTACAGTTGTGGTAAGGAAAAACTGCTCTAAGGAGATGACTTGTAAGTAGAAACTAGAATGCAGGGAGGGAGCAAGCCAGGCAGGCATTTGGGGGTAATAATAATAATGTTATAGTTCTTAAAGTACTCATAGTCTTATAATTCTCAAAGGTTTCTGACATCATAGAGCTCAGGAACCAGTGTGCTCAGTGGGAAGGGCAGAGTGCTGGAAACAGGAACATCTCAGTTTGAATCTTGCTTCCCCTTCTTGCTAGACTGAGGGCATCCTCATTGCTTCTGCTAAGAGTCAAGCTCTTTGCTGTAAAATCGGGCTACAGCACCTTCCTTCTCCACATCAAAACTGTGTGCAAGATGATTGAGACCAAGGTTAAAATTCAGACTGCCACTTCTTATCTATGGAATCTGGGGAGAGCTTAAGAAGGTCTCTAAGCCTCTCCTTATCTGTAAAATGGGCAGAAAATACCTTCTGCCTCGTTGGGTTAAAGACTGAGATTATACATTTAAGATATAGAGAACTGTGGCTGACATAGAATGAATATTTGAGTAAATGTTAACCATTAGTATGATTTGAATCACAGCCTATAAAATTACTTAATACCTTCCTTGATATGTAACAAACATGCAATAAAAGGTAGCTCTATGCATTATTATATATTATTGTTTTGCAAATCTTAGAGATTAAAAAATGTAGCTTAGTAATCTATTTAGGAATACCACATACAGTGGCACAGATGGGTCACTTTAAAACTCCAGGCGGTGTACTCACTTACATTATCATAATTTTTTGCTACAGTGAGATATAATCATCTTAAAAGGAGTACAAGTGATACTCTATACCATAATAACAGAATCAACATAATTTTCACATATTAAGTGCATACAATGTGTTAGGTATAGTATTAGGTGCTTCACATCTTCACAAAACCCCTGCAGGGTCAGTATCATTATCTCCATTTTAGGTATAAGGTAATTGGTGCTCAGAGAGGAAAAGTAACTTGCACAGGGTCACACAGCGGACATTAAGCTGAAATCAGGGTCTGAACTGAGGTTATCTGTCCCCAAAGCCAGCATTCTCTCCACTGCCCCCTACTACCTCACCCAGATGGCCAAGACTGACTTCTGATCTTAGCACAGTCCATAAAGTTGGTCCAACCATCAGATGTTTTAGCTTACTGTGGGCCTGGAGGAGACTCCCATGTCCTTCCAGGGGTTCCCACCCTTCTCAGGGTGCAATCAAGCCCAGGAGACAGACGACCAGTCTAGGCAGAGTAGAGGGTGAAGACTGACCTCTCAAAATAAGCATTTTTAGGGCTGCCAGAAGGAATTTGCAGGTACAGAACGGTGAGACTAGGAAAAAAAGAGGGTGGATGTATGGTGTCCGAGCAGCTTCCAAAATGACCTGGGTTGTGTTGATGACTCTGGTGAACCCAGAGAAATGACACATGGGCTGCCTCACCCATGCGCTAGCCTCAGATCTACCTGTCCTTCAACTGATTCATAAGAGATGGAGCCAACTTTCAAAGCCAGTCCATTTCCTTACAAGGTGAGAGGAGGCTCCAAGAGGGGTGGACAGAGAAACACATGCTTCCTGCTAATTAACTGTGTTTGGTACTTTTATGGAATGAGGCAGGAGTGTCAACAAACAAAACAGACAATATCCTTATCAGATCACCTTGGTCTTGGTGCAAGGAAATGAGAACACACACTAACACTCTACTTTTCCTCTCTGAGCACCAATCACCTCATCCCTAAAATGGAGATAACAATACTGACACTGCAGGGATTTTGTGAAACACCTAATACTACACCTAACATGCTGTAAGCACTTAATAAGTGGAAATTATATTGTTTCTGTTATTATGGTATAAAGTATCACTTGTGCTCCTTTTAAAATGATTATATCTCTTGGTAGCGAAAAAGTGAAGAGGCATTGGTACTGAAAGCTTGCTTATGTTGTCTATCATAGAATAATACAATGATTAAACGTAACAACAAAGAATTCTGCAACTTTGTTTTTCTTATTTTCCCACTGACTGATGGGGTTCAGTGGTTCTTGGTGGGAGCCCTACTGCCTCCTAGGGGATGATTAGGAAATTCTTGGGATGTGTTTTGAATGTCAGAAAAACTTGGTGGGGTGGGGGGCAGTACTGACATTTAAGGGTCAAGAGCACCGACACTAGACCTCCTATAATATGGGAGATGATGTGCATGATAAAGAATTTGTGATTGTTTGGGTGTACTTTGAATCACGTGGAAATTTAAAGTTTCTTTGCACAGTTTTAATGCACTTAATTTTTCAGAAACGCATACATTGGGTAGGATTATATTTTGTTTCTTTGGCACACAGTCAAGAGTTGACCAACAACTTGGAAAATTGTGGTCCCTATTGATGGCATTGGAGACAGCGTTAACACTCCTATTCTGGTTGGTCTATGCTATTGTTGGTTTTAGGTACACACATCTGACCACTGAGTATGTGTTCTCGTGTGGTGATGGTGGTGGTGTAGTCGCTAAGTTGTGTCCGACTCTTGTGACCCCATGGGCTGTAGCCTGCCAGCATCCTCTGTGATGGGAATTCCCTAGGCAAGAATACTAGAGTGGGTTGCCATTTCCTTCTCCAGGAGATCTTCCCAACTCAGGAATCAAAGCCAGGTCTCCTGCATTGCAGGCAGATTCTTTACCAACTGAGCTATGGGGGAAGCCAGTGTGGTGGCGCCTGGGGGTTTCCTAGTGGAAATGCTTATCTTGTTCTTACAAATTTGCTTTCATTTCTTCTTTCTACTACTAACGTAACAACAATGCCAGTGACAATGCTAATGTCAGTGACAACAATGTCCTATACTAGGACACTAGATTGATTTTTGAACAACTATGTAGGTAGTTTATATTCTTGATGAATTTCATCTCACCATATTAAAGGAGATGTCATAAATCCTCATTATAAAAAGGGGCACTGAGTCTCACATGGTGAAGACTTGCCCATGGATCTCCCTACCATGCCAACCCTGATGCCCATTTTGGTAAATGGATGGAAGGCTTCAGTCTCCAGTCAGACTTTCATGCTTGGCTTACATCCCACCCTCCTCACTGCCACCATATTCTAAAATGCAAATACGGTTGTCCCTTGGATAATGCTCAGGTTGAGGGGACTGAGACCTGAGCGATGGAAAATCCACGTGTAACTTATAGTTGACCCTCCATGTACCTGGTTCTGCACCCATGGAATCAACCAACCTGGGATCATACATAGTACTCCTGTAGTATTCATTGAAAAATATCCACATATAAGTAGACCTGTGCAATTCAGGCCTTTATTGTTCAAGGGTCAGTGGTACAGTGCTTCATCACCTAGAAAATGATGCCCAGAGACCTTAGCTTATCTTTGGGGCTATGGGGCCAGCCTCTTTCCACCTCGTCACCCCTATTTCCCATTTGCTCTCTCATTGGCACCCTTCCCTGCAGCAGCTGCAAACAACACAACCTGCTCCCTCATCTCTGCTGGTCTACCTGCATGGAAACCCATCCTTACTTCTTCACATCACTGTCCCTCCTCTGCTCTTGGGAGACTCAGTTCAGCATCACCTCTGCCCTCTACACTTAGCTGGCTCTCCTCTCATCATGCACAGTTCTTTATGTTCATCTCTATCATGGTGCACATCACAGTAAAAAGTTACTGTGTTGTAACTGCACAATGATTTTATCTTCCCTCATTAGACTAGAGAGCCCCTGTGAGTAGGAGCCTTTTACTTTTTTCTGCCTCCCCCATCTGTGTCTAACACAGTTGTGGGCACACACCCACTGCTCCATAAATGCTTAAGGCTGGAGAAAGACTCTAGATAGAGGTGACTGAGTCACAGTGGAATAAATACCTGTACTGCATTTTGCTAAGTGTCCAATTCAACTCCAGTAACCATAAGTGCTATGATCTCTGATGAGTCAGTCTACTGTTGGTAGCAGGCTTTTCCCCCCCGCTATCTTTTTTTCCCTTTTTGCCACAAGGAACCAACAGATGGGCTGTACACACTTTTCTGAAGAGAGCTGTTAGCATTATCTTCCTGGCTTTATGCCATCTGCTTCAGACCAAAGTACAATATTCAAAAGAAAAAAAAAAAAGACAGCAAGGGTAATTAGGTGTCATGTTTGGGAACTTGCAGGTCTCACTTGCTTTTCCTTAGGGGGGTCCCGGCAGTGGGGGCTTTCCCCAGACCTGTGAGCTAAGGCCCTCTGGCCACGTGGCATCATGCGTCCCTGATGGGACATCTCGGTGGCAGGGCTGCGCTAGCATTAGACATGGGAAGCCGCTGCGAAGCTGCCACTGCAGCCACTTAGCAGCTTAGTAACTGTTTGCTCGCTAACGTTCAACAGCAGAGGAAGGAGGTGCCAATGAGCGTCTGTTTATGCCACGAAGTTCAGATCAATCATAAATCTCTCTCTGCAATGAAAGGAACCACCTGCATTACTGCCTTGCATTTAGATTTTTCAGTGTTGAAAACTGCAATTTATAACCAGATGCTGCACCTGGGAATACTCTCAGTATTTGAGGCGGGGGGGGGGGGGGGGGACAGACTAAAAGGTAAGAAAACACTGAAAACTGAAGGGTTTCTCTAACATATACAGAGCTTGTGTGGTACCTCTCATCTACATTATGTCATTTGATGCATTTGTTCAAAAGTAGTCCTCCTGGGTGGCAAACACTGTTTCTGGAGATTCAGTGAAGAACAAGACAGTATTAAAAATAAACAAATAAATAAAATAAATCCTTACCCTAGTGGAGCTCACATTTTTAGTGAAGCTGATCCTTCAACAAGTCTCTGGGGTGGCTGTTATCAATAGCCCTTTAACTGGGACTTCCCTGGTGGTCCAGTGGCTAAGACTCTATGCTGTCAATGCAGGGAACCTGGGTTCAATCCCTAACCAGGGAACTAAATCCCAGCTGCCACAACTGAGATCTGGCACTGCCAAGTTAATAAATAAATATTGAAAAATATCTCTTCAATCTGCATACCAGGAACTGACAGCTTCCAGAGTGGAAGGTTTTATGTGGCTACCCAGAGTATGGGTAGAAGAGTCAGGATCCCTGGTGAGTAGGGCAGAGAACTTTTATTGAGTGCTTACTTATGTAAAAACTGCCAGGTACTGTTTTAAATGTTTTACTACATGTGATTAACTCAGGAATAGCTTGATGAGGTAGAATCATCATCCCCATTTTACAGATAAGTTCCCTGAGGCTCTGAAGTGACATAGCTGAGTGTCACACAGCTGGTTAGTAGAAGGGTCTGTATTTATAGAGCATACTCTCCAGCCCTTCAGGCCAGCTCTGCCATGTGCTCAGGAGGTCAAAGACCTAAACTTTATTACATGCATTTTTTTTAAAAAAGGGAACATCCCAAGAAGGAAAAGGAAAAAAAAAAAAAGTAAAAACAAGATATATTTTCTTCTACTTTAGATGTCAGGTAAAAATAATACTAGCATTTTCTACACAAAGCATTTACAACATGCCAGCATTTTTCAGAAGCACTTGATTTTATTTCCTCATTTAATTCTCATGATATTGTTGCAAGGTAAGTATTATTTTAAATTCAGTTATAAAAATGAAGAAACTCTGGCTCTGACAGGTTAAGTAATTTGCCCAGGTGTCTAAAGCTTATAGATAAATGGCTGAGCCAGGGCTCAAACTCAGCCTGTTCACTGCACTACACACCCCAGGTCATTTCCCACCTCCCTGTTGCTGGCAGGGCAATTAGGGACAGCGAGATGGAGATTCAATAGCTGCAGAGATTTTTAAGGCCAGTTAAAGGAAGAAGGCCGACAGTTTAACACCACCTGAAGCCCAGTTTTGTTTCTCGGCAGAGCTTAAGTAGAGTAAGAAAGAAAAAATATGCTAACTGAAATTAATTTTATACTTACATTGTAAAAACTGAAATCTTGGAGGTAATCTATCATTTTTTTAAGCAGCTTAAGAAACAGAATGGGCGGAATGGTTTGTCCACAGTGTGGAACATGGCTGATCAAGTGGTAAGATTGTACAATAGAGTTCTTCAAAGCCATAACCTGGCCCCGGCTGGGCAGAGGGCCCGGAGCAGTACAGGCAGGTTCTCAGGCATTTTAGTCAAGTGTAAGGGCCAGAACTGATTCCAGCCCCTCTTGCTTAGAGAGAAAGGGGGTGGAGGCTGGGAAGGGCCATGGGAGTACTCTTGACCCTGACACCTTCCTGGCTCATATCACAGGTTTGCATGAGCCCCTGCTTCTGACCATCACCCCCGTTCACACCTGCCCTGCTCCACATTTTCTCCTGTTCGTACCGCTCATCCACCACTCCTAACAAATTATGTTAAGTTACGCATTTTCACGTTGTTGTCCGCCTCCCCACTTGAAAGCTCTCTGCGGCCAGGGGCCTGTGTCTGTTGCAGTCACTGACGCACCCGACACCTCGAATAGACCTGGCCCACAGTGCATACTCAGTGAACAGTTATGGCATGAACATGCTTGAAAATGAGTAAATTTGGTGCCTAGAGGTACCATCCTCTGTCCCAGTATATATTCATGAATTAAATAATGGGGACAAAGCATGGTTATTCTGAATGCAAGGCTGACAGCACAAGAAGACTGTCCATCTCCGACAGAAAACTATTATTCTTACTTAAAACGACAGATTCCATTCCATTATTCCCAAGGACATTTTAATACGCAGTTTAGGTAAGGAAAACTATTGCCACTGTTCCATTTTAGGTTTGGGTAAAACAGATTTGATTGGGAAGCTTAGCAATTAAAGACATTTCTAGGCTACCTATAGATTCTCAACTGTAAGTTAGATACATTAGCTACCAACCTCTGTTGCTTCTAGAAGTGAGCCTTCAGCTCAGGAGGAATAACTATTTCAGAACAGAGTATGAAATTTTAATCTCACTTTAAGTAACAACAAGGCTTATATCTGGTGGCAAGAATTTGTTTCTAACACTATATAATTAAAAATAGTTATTTATAGAAAAATGCAAGAAATTGGTATTTTAAAGCATACCAACTCCACCATTTGTATAAATAAAGTAGTAAAAGAAAGATAAAGCCACATATTTCAAATATGTAGTTAAGGGAAGAAAAAGTCTTTAAGAATCCCTGTATGCAAACAGCATAAGTAATACCACCTATCTCTGACTCAATGGACATGAATTTGAACAAATTCTGGGAGGTAGTGAAGGACAGGGAAGCCTGGCATGCTGCAGTCCATGGGGTCACAGAGTCAGACATGACTTAGTGATTGAACAAAACCAACAGCAAAATATCACCTTTGGCCATGTCCAGGTAGAATGGGCTGGCTTCATGGATTGCCTAATGCCATGGAAACAAGATGCCTCAGACCCCACCAATGTGCACCTGCAACACTGTTACTATATGTATTTTTACCCTGTTATAAAAGAATATTTGGAAAATAGAACAAATACCCTCTAAGTCACTAAGCCCCATTGCAATTCACTGTTCATTGTCAGCAGAACTCCTAGGTGTTCCCCTTTGCATGGGGAACCTCCCCTTCCTTAAACCTCCACCCCTTCTATCACTCAGGTCTCAAGAGGTCGGTGAAGGGCAACTGCCCCTTCCCCGCATCCAGCTGAGCTGGCCAATCAGGATTTGTGCTGATTCACACGGCTATGTGTGCACTGAGCTCCCCAAAGCTATACATCTGGAATCTTGACCTTTCAGGTTCAAGATATGACTGGTTTCCAGCCTCCCACATACCAGAGCTTGGTAAGCATACTACTCCCTGCCCATGGCAGCTTCTTAGTGTCACCTGAAGAGTCAAGGAAGGGAATGGTCATCCCACAGGTGTCTGGCATAACCTGGCAGCTGGCTCAGTCAGCCTTTTCTTTTTCTTGGTGGATGGAGGTGGGAGGAAGGTGGAAGAGGGCTTACCTGAGGGTACAGCAGCAGTGCCAAAAGGTACAGAACCAAACATGTCTGCACTCGCCGGAAGTGTCTGAGATGAAGACGGGATAAAGGCATCACCTGGAGTTGCAGGAGTCTGTCAGACAGAGAGGGGAAGATGGGTGTGAGGCTCCTGGGAGAGCCTTATTGCTGACCATGATGGGAGGCAGCAGGCCCAGGAGTTAAGCAGGGAGATGCTGCAGAAGCAAGCCCTGGTCCTGGCCACTTTTTGTGAACTGCAGACCATGCGCTGCTATGTATACAGAGCATAAAGTGAGAAAATCAATACCTATCTCCAGAGCTGCTGACAGGCTTCAATGAGATAATGCATATAAATGACTTAGTACTATGCTGAGGCACAGAATAGGTGCTCAGCTAACACTGGCCAGCATCACGACTATTTAGCTTGAGCCCATACCCTCTGGGGGTGTCGTCAGGCCCTCAAATTATCCCATAATATCTGGCTTTCGTCCTTTAGAAGTTAATTCAAACTGACATACACTCACTTAGACCTACTGTGTACCCAGCTCAAGGCTGTCACTGAATACATGGTCAACAAACAGGTGTTGACTAAATAAATAAAGATTAGCAAGTGGAACAGAGACCCTTGGGTCCTCATGCCTCCCAGAAGAATCCTGCCTGAAACTTCACTTGCAAAAAGAAACAAATGTTCTCAAGAAGATGATAAAAATGATGCTAGAGCAGCTTCCAACTCTAGATCCTGGCCCATGTTGGAATTTCAGAAATGTCTTCTCCATGACGTGGTGGGTAAGGTGAGGACTACTAAAATCAAAACTTGAGTACTTGTTTCTTTAAAGGTTCATGCCTTTCCAGAAAACTTTTGCCTACAGAGTATGCATATTTGATGACATAATATCTTTATTTCTTTCCCCTTGGAATAGATTGGGGCAAGCAATTAATCCTGAAACCATGGCAATTAGACAAGGCCATATTTAGATTAGCAGCTTGCAGGAGGCATGGCATTGTTCTGAGGATTATTAAATACCCATTTGGATGGCACTCAGGTTTAGGGCCAGAAACACAGCCATGAGCTGCTGCATTAAGCACGTTAGACCATAATCAATGCCGTTTGCTTTCCTCCAGTGTGACCTTGGGCAAGTCACATGCCCTCTCTGGAACTCACTATGCTCATCTGTAAAATGAAGGTGCTAAATAAGGCTAGAAGATCACTCCAGACCTTTCTATCTCCATGGCCCCAAGATTCAGAGATGCAGCTGCCTTCCCTGGAAGTGGGGAGAGAAAGCCTCACTAGAACCAACCAGCCTCCCTGGAGATAGGAGCTGCTGGCCCCTCCTTCACGGCTGCTCTGGGTACCAGGTGTTGGAAGCAGGGCAACTGTGTTCAGATTCCCTGGCGGCAGCTGTGGGCAGCAGGCTCTCCTGCCATCTGTCCTCAGTGAGGTTACAGCCTTTTCTCTGGAAGGCGCAGCTTGCCAATGAACCATAGCACCATCCCTGGGTTTGCACTAAACATGTGGTCCCCAGAGGAACCACCCCCTCCCAGCAGCTTCAGCCGGTGCAGCTGTGGCCGACTGCTCTCTGCCCACCTCCGGGGAGTGGGCTGGGCAGGAGCTGGAGGGGCTAGCTTGGCTCTTTGCCATGGCTGCAGGGTTGCCTCTGAATGCCTCCCATTCTCAAAGCACTGGGATTCTATTTTGCTTCAGCTCCCTGCGAACTCTGCCCTAGTGCAAGCAATGACTGAGATAGCATGGCTGAAACTAGAGCTGGGAATCCAAAGCTTCCCGAGAAGCTCAGAGAAGCCAGCAAGCAAATGGGAAGGGAGAAGGAAATGAAAAGAGGAAGAAAGGAAGGACAGAAGGGAACAAGGCAGGAGAGAACTGAAATGTCCGGAGGAGAAGATGCTTCCTTTTTCTGGGTAGGAGATGACAAATGTCTCATCTCATCTGCTGTCCCGGGGAGCTTCTCATCCATATTCCCAGGTGGACCTTGTGCTCCTTTCAGGCAGGGACCACATCTTGCTCCTGTCTCTTTCCACTTCCCAGCATAACGGCAAGCACCCCAGTGATAGTCTGTAATTGCTGATGCATGATCTCATTTATTTCTCAAAACAGAGCATGCATCATAATTCCTTTTTTAAAAAATAAGCAGAGGAAATTGACATTTAGAATTGCTAGTTAATATGCCCAAATCAGACAGCTGGAAGAGTCTGAGTTGAAATCCACCAGCAGTTTCTTTTAGCCAAAGCCCATATATTTGTCACCATGCAACTGAAAAAGGAAAGGAAAGAGATGCAGGGCTCCAAGCACAATGCATACTTACAGGGGGAGAAGTTATATCAGGAGGGGTGGACATGTCCCCAAAAAGTTCTAATTGGGTCACAGCCTGAAAAGACAAAAAGATAATGATGTAACCACAAGGGGAGCTGATGCTGCTGGGCAATACTTTAAAAACAGTATGATTTGAGGACATGCATTTCCCTTTTTCATCATGACTATATAAACAATAAACCCAGTTGGTCATTATGATACTTCTTGATCCCAAAGACAGCATCTCAGATGCAGCCAGAATTAATTATTGTTTCAATGTGTCTGGCTGTTTATCTGGGCTTAGTCAAGCAGATCTGGGCTTAGCCACCTTGCATAAGCAATAATAATACCATTTTACACATATTTACCATCCAATGCCAGCACTGTCTCTCTTCTCCAGGAGACAAAGGCAAGAGGTAATTTTATCATTCGCTTCTCTTTCCTGAGTATGTCCACATGTTACAAAATGCTTTTCCTGCACCGAGTATAGCAAGTCACCGCTTTACGGCCGCTTCTCAGTAAATTCTCTGCTATCACTGACCCTGAAAGGTATGAACTGTCACCCCCATTTTTACAGATGAATAAACTGAGTTTCTCAGAGGTCACCTCAAGACCACCTAGGCCAGGACTTGAATTTTCTGCATGTAGAGCAGGCAGTCAAATGACAGTCCTCGAAAGAATCCATCTTCAAGATAAAAAATACAGTTGGAGGAGGAGAAAATGTATCATTTAATACCAGGAAGGGTATCAAAAACAACCCAGTATATACACGATTAATCACTCCGAGGAGCTCCATCACTGTGGATACTGTATCAACTATATTGCCATCCATCATCCCTCAGTGTCTGAGCAAGGCCAGCCAGAGCAGTGGGAGAAGCCTTTTAAGATACACTTAGGAATTAATCAGTATACACTTCCAGCTTCAGAGTCTGCAGGAGGTCTATGGCCGGGAATCAAATAGCTTGACTTAAAGTATATAATCATGTGTTTTGTACAAATTTGCCCACTGCAAAAAAACAAAACAAAAGAAACCAACTTTCTGCTCATCTTCAGACTTTTAAGTGATAGTTTCTAATCAGGGAACTGAAAAAACACCACTGGGAGAGTCTGTCCTGGCAGACAAGACTCCTGCCCTAGAAATCTGTTTTAACCAGGCAAAGCGGGATCACCAAGATTCATAAAAGAAAGGAATATTCTCTGCTACTGACAAACTTGTGAGATCTAGGCCCAGGAAGAGTCCCATTCCTGGGGTGGCATCTGAGTTCTACGACTGACAATCTCTACAGCTCTGCAGGGCCACTTTTCTCTCACCTGGACATTAGAGGTGTTAATATCTCCTTTGGAGATTTTTTGATTATATTACTAGAAGGACTCTGAAGTTTGAGTAAGCTGGTGAAAAAGACACAAAAGATTCTTCTTCTTCTTTTTTTTTTTTTTTTTGCTGAAAAGCAAGCACCTTAGCCTGATAAACTCACTTTTTAATCCTTCTTCTTCAGGTTTCAGATCAAATAAATGGTTCCTGGCACATAGTAGGGCCCTATACATATGAATTTCTTTCCCAACTACATAATTTTGGGGGGCTCCAAAACCACTGCAGATAGTGACTGCAGCCATGAAATTAGACGCTTACTCCTTGGGAGAAAAGTTATGACCAACCTAGATAGCATATTCAAAAGCAGAGACGTTACTTTGCCAACAAAGGTCCATCTGTCAAGGCTATGGTTTTTCCAGCAGTCACGTGTGGATATGAGAGATGGACTATAAAGAAAGCTGAGCGCCGAAGAATTGATGCTTTTGAACTGTGGTGTTGGAGAAGACTCTTGAGAGTCCCTTGGACTGCAAGGAGATCCAACCAGTCCATCCTAAAGGAAATCAGTCCTGAATATTCATTGGAAGGACTGATGTTAAAGCTGAAGCTCCAATACTTTGGCCACCTGATGAGAAAAGCTGACTCATTTGAAAAGACCCTGATGCTGGGAAAGACTGAAGGTGGGAGGAGAAGGGGACGACAGAGGACAACATGGTTGGATGGCATCACAGACTCAATAGACATGAGTTTGAGTAAACTCCGGGAGTTGGTGACAGACAGGGAGGCCTGGCGTGCTGCAGTCCATGGGGTCACAAAGAGTCGGACACGACTGAGTGACTGAACTGAACTACATAATGTGCTGGTACACACTGGACAACTGTAAGGTGTTAGGCCCTATGCTGGGTGCTAGGAACATAATTAGGAGGAATGTCAATTTTCAGCCTTCAGGGAGCTTACAGTCTAGTGGGGACAATCCACAGATATAATAATAAACGTTTGCTTGTCTTTGGGAAGGCTTATTTAGCATGTGAACAATATTTCATATTATTTGGTGAAACAGTGCCAATCCTTAGGCTCTCTCCCAAACCCACAGAAGGCATAATTCTATTGAATGTGTTCAAAGGAGGTTTCTGGGCTTCTTAGCCCTTGGAGCTCAATGCTTTACAAATGGCCCATGACTGTTTTCAGTGGTAGGAAAATATTAAAATGAAGTTAATAATTAAGTTGCACAATTTACATTTCAAATGTGGTGAACTCATGGCACACTTTTACTAACATCATAAATATAATTTATTGGCTAATTTTCTCCTTAAGCACAACTTTTAAAATAACCTTCATTCTTGAGCTACAGACTCTCCTCTTGCCAGATGATTTCCATTCAAGGATTAAACGAGAAAAAACATGCAGAGGCATAAAACATAGATTGTTATTTCATTCCATTGGATTTGCTGCTTAAATAGAACCTTGAGTTAATTAAATTTTATAGAAAAAAGGGATTCTTAGGCCATAAAATTAAAAATAATTCTAATAACAGTATATGATTGAGGATCTTGAATAATATCTATTTTCACAGCCCCCTCTCCCTCTTGTTAACCCTGGTTCTTTCATTTGTAACTTAAGAAGCCATGTTCCATCTGATAATATTGTTGTAATTAATCATTTTAACAGCCTCATTAGAATAGAACTGACCACTCACATTTGTAGAGAACTTTATAGTTTACAACGTGTTTTCCAACACATTACTGTAACATTGGACGCTCCCTGAACCCTGTGAAGTTGGCAGCACAAGAATCTCTCCCACTATCTCTAGTTTACAGATGAGCTAATAGAGGTCTGAAGGTAACGTGACTTGCCTCTGATCGGTCAGCTAAAAAAAGCTTGGTTTGCCCCAAATATGAAGCAGCACCTTGTTTATCCATGTGTCCCTCTACCCAGCCCTACTTAGCCCTCCTTCATGGTGGAAGCCCAGCCCCACAATATTCCCTAACCAGAAGCCAGGGTTCTTACAAGTCCTGCTATGATTCATATCCCTCTGAAGAAGTCATCTCCAAGGTCAACCCAAGATTCCTCCTTGCCCTCCCCTTCCTGGCCCTTCAGACATCTTCAAGTAAAGATGTGGTTGTTGATGGCAGATTCGGCCCCTTCTCTAGGTCCTGGGCATCCCCCAGGGTAAACAGAGTGACCCTGGAAGCTGCCAACGCCAGTGAAAAGGATGAGGAGATGCTTGGCTAGTGGAGCTCCTCATATCTCAACCAGGCTTGTCCTCTCCCAATGTTATGAATCAGCGGTGGTTTTCCAATAACATCTGGAATGCCCTGTAGCTGCTGTTTCATAATTAGTCCCTTGGTCCTTCTTTCCACTAAACCTTTGCAAGCAGACCCCTAGACCCCTCCTGCAGAGAAGCTCTAAAAGCGCCACTGATGAAGGCAGAGGTGTCCACGACTGACCACCAGTACACATTTACATAGACTCACTCCCTCAGTTTTGGCATCAGGTGCTCCTTCATTTAGGGCAAGCATATAGTTCCTACTGTGCATCAGCTACTGTGCCGAAAGCAGGGGACACACGGATGCGTAAGGCATCTTCCTGCACTGCGTCTCCTGAGCTGCCTGTTCTGTGAGAAGACAGACCTACAGACACAGTGAGGACCACGTTCCAGAGGAGCACCAGGGCCCACGAAAGGAGGGGCCACCTCAGGGCCTTGGCACGTGCTCCTCCTCTGACCAGAACACTCAAACCTTCCCCCACTGCCTTTCTTACAGGTCTTTCCAGACACAGACTAGGGGGCTTTATTTCTTCCTGGGAAGTGTTTTCTGACTCCATTTGTACCCCATCCCACTGCCCCAAACAGCTTATGTGAGACCCTTAGATGGACCGTCAGCCGTGGACACCCTGGTGGCTCAGTTGGTAAAGAATATGCCTGCAATGCGAGAGACCTGGGTTCGATCCCTGGGTTGGGAAAATCCCCTGGAGGAGGGCATAGCAACCCACTCCAGTATTCTTGCCTGGAGAATCCCCATGGACAGAGGAACCTGGCGTGTCTCAGTCCATGGGGTCGGAAAGAGTCAGACACAACTGAGCGACTAAGCACACATGCTCAAGGGAAAAATATGGATGCCTGATCCCCACCCCTTGAGGTTCTTAATTAGTTGGTTTGAGGTAGTTTAGTGACTCAAATGGAGAAGGCAATGGCAACCCACTCTAGTACTCTCACCTGGAAAATCCCGTGGACGGAGGAGCCTGGTGGGCCACCGTCTCTGGGGTCGCACAGAGTCGGACACGACTGAAGAGACTTAGCAGCAGCAGTGACTCAAAGTTTAAAAACTTTCCTGATGATTCTGATTTGCAGCCCAGGTTGAGAACTCCTGTCCTATAGGCTTCCCAAACACATGTACTCAGGAGTAACAACATTTGCTGGCCTATGTATTAACCAATCTGAATAAACACTGGCTGCAAACCAGCACCTCTATTTCAGGTGATGTGGACCAAATAGCAGGCTTATCTCCACAGGTGCTGCTGCTGCTAAGTCGCTTCAGTCGTGTCCGACTCTGTGCGACCCCAGAGACAGCAGCCCAGCAGGCACCCCCGCCCCTGGGATTCTCCAGGCAAGAACACTGGAGTGGGTTGCCATTTCCTTCTCCAATGCATGAAAATGAAAAGTGAAAGGGAAGTCGCTCAGTCCTGTCCGACTCTTCGCGACCCCATGGACTGCAGCCTACCAGGCTCCTCCGTCCATGGGATTTTCCAGGCAGGAGGACTGGAGTGGG